CATTTCCGTAGTCCGCGCCGTGCTCGAGCAGGAGACGCACGGTCTCGATGTGGCCCTCAGCGGACGCCACCTGCAGCGCGTTTCCGTAGTCCCTGGCTTGTGCATTGACATCCGCGCCGTGCTTGAGCAGGAGAAGCACGATGTCGGTGTGGCCTCTAGTGGACGCGGCGTGCAACGCACTTCTGTTCTGTCCTCTGTGTGCACTGACATTGAAACCCTCTTCCAGGAGGAGACGCACAGTCGCTATGTGGCCTCCCAATGACGCGGCCTGCAATGCGCTGCCTTTTCCGCCTTGTTCGTTGACATTTGCGCTGTTTGCAAAGAGGGGATGCCCACAGTTCGACGCGACAGCCTGCAAGGCGATTCTATATGAACCACCATGTGCATTGATGTCCGCGCCATGTTTCAGGAGAAGTCGCACAATGTCTGTATCGCCGGAACCAGAGGTGGCCAGCAGCGCACTCGCATATTCCTCGGCGTGTGCATTTTTGTTGGCGCCGTTTGCAATGAGCATGCGCACAGTTTTCAAGTGGCCCCACCGTGCGGCATTATGCAAAGCGTATCCATGTATCTCATCGTGCGCATTGACCTCAGCGCCATTCTCCAGCAGAAGACTTGCAATCTCATCATCACCCCTCCATAATGCAATATGCAGTGCGCTTCCTTGAGGTCCGCCCCGTGCATTGACGCCGGCACCATGCTCGAGGAGGAGACGCACAGAATCTATACAGCCTTGACTAGACGCAGCCTGCAGCGCGCTTCCGTACAATCCACATTGTGCACTGACGTTGGTACCGTTTTCAAGTAGGAAACGCATGATCTCTATGCGACCTCTACTTAATGCTGCTTGGAACACGTCTGTTGCGTTGACGTCCGCGCCATTTGAGACTAGGAGCCGTACAACGTCTATGCAGTCTCCCCTGATTGCGGCGTGCAACGGAGTTCCTTGTTTCTCGTCGTATCGGTTGACGTCAGCACCTTTCTCGAGCAGTAAACGTGCGATCCTTGTGTGCCCTTTCTCTGACGCGACATGCAACGGAGCCCCTTGTTTCTCGTTGTATCGATTGATGTCGGCACCTTTCTCGAGCAGTAAACGTGCGATCTCTATGTGCCCATTCTCTGACGCGACATGCAACGGAGTCCCTTGTTTCTCGTCGTATCGATTGACGTCGGCACCTTTCTCGAGCAGTAAACGTGCGATCTCTATGTGCCCATTCTCTGACGCGACATGCAACGGAGTCCCTTGTTTCTCGTCGTATCGATTGACGTCGGCACCTTTCTCGAGCAGTAAACGTGCAATCTCTGTGTGCCCTTTCTCTGATGCAACATGCAACGCGGTTCCTCTATTCTCGGTGTGCAGACCAACGTCGGCGCCTCGCTGGAGTAGTAGAGTGACAATCTCTGTCCGCCCTTCCCGCGACGCGGCATACAACCAGGTCCCACCTTCATCTTGTGTATTGACATTTGCGCCGGCATCGAGCAACGCATGCACTCCCTTGACATATCCCCCCTCAAACAAAATTGCAGAGATGAAGTTTCCGGAGTGGTCCAGTCTGGACCATTCCAGTAGCCACGGCCACAAAGATTATTCAGGGCAATGTACTGCTTGCTGCCATTCTCCAGAAGACGTGCTGTATCGGAAAAAAGAGTTGTCTGTTCATGGCAACGCGACAGATGGTAATGCCAGTAGCGTGCCGCATACTGTGCCATTGGATAGTTCGGCAATGTGGACGAATCGAGGCGATGGTCAGCAAAGTGGAGGAGATAGGCTATGCATGACCGCCCAATGAAAGTATGCGAGATGCCCTCGCTGAGGTCGCAGTTGAATTTCTGCATAAAGTGCTTGGACAGGATATAATCCTGGACCGATGCGTGGGCCAAAATGAGGTACTGTTTTCCGGACCAATCGACACCAGAAGTAACCATTCCTTTCAGCCACTCGAGGATCGCATTGGCATTATCGTCACGCAGATTCGGATCGTACGTGTAATGTGCCTCGTCGGTAAAGTCGAAAGCTATAGCGTCCGCAATCTGGGCCAGATAATCCGGTTCGAAGCTCCTGGAGAATAAGAGCCATCGGAGAACCCCTGTGACATATACAAGGTCCTCCGGACGAATCGCCTGCAAGAACCGGTCGTAGATCCCAAACAGGTCAGTCGGTAGATTTCGAAGTGTCTTCTCCAATTCATTCTTGCGTTTACAATGAGAAAGTTCGAGTAAGAGACAAGCAGCCAGGCGGAACCTGACCATAGCATTGAGCAAATTAGTTTGTGGAACGTTGGTTAAAATGAAGAGACCAACATTCCGCTGCTTTTCGACACAATCCGATCAATTACCTCTCTTCTGCGAGAACTCCAAATTTCCAACCCAAGATTAACCTCGAGCTCGCTTTCAACAAAGTGTCTGATATCATTTTCTATGTCCCCGGAATCGAGAGAGATACAGGTGACATCCTTGAGCCGATTTGTGAAGAGGATACGAGGCTGACTGGTGATTAAGAGGTGCAACGGGCCGCCGGTCCATCCCCGGAGCATCGAAATGAGGTCCACAAGCTGCCCGAGTTCGCTCTCCCTGCACTCATCGAGTGCGTCGAGAACGATGTAAGTACGTTGTTGTGCTCTGAGCAACTCTTCAACGACGCGCTGAAGATCCTGGTAGCTCGGCAGGGTCTGTCCCTTCGACAAATTGTATTGCTTGTCAAGAGCACTATACGGATGGGGGGACTGGGCAGACAGCTGGAGAACAATGCGCCGGAGGGCGGTTTCCACGGCCTGGCCTTCCTTATCTTTGAAGTCGAAATAAAAGAATGCGACAGCAGAAGATGTTCCGAGGTCGCTGAAGAGTTTCTGGTCGTGGATCAGCGCATCTATGACTGTCGAGCTAATTTTATTTTCGTTAGATGCTATCGGCCAAAGTATCAGTAGCGTCACCTGAGTACGCTCTTCCCGGTACCCGCTATTTTCGAGTTAGCAATGAGAAAGGACAAGCAAGAGACCGGCTTACATAGACCCTGAATCCATAATGCGCCCGCGTTGTCCTGCCATTCAATGAATTTAGTGCCTTTCAGAAACCAAGTTCCGGTGCCTTCTTTGCGAAGTTTCTGTGTTTCGTGCTGTTTTTGCTTCATGTTCGGAGGTGGTCCAAGCCATTTTTCAAGCTTTTCTTCAACGCTAGATCCAAGTAAGCCGATGCAATGTAGGAACGAAAGAAAAGTAGGACTGACGCCATATCATGAAGCTTATCAATCGCCTCTTTCATCGTGCTCTGCTGTAGCGCAAGATCTACCAGACGGTTGGTCTAAAATATGAGACATGAGTTTGAAAACGAGCTCTATGTTTCTAGCACTCACCCTGAACCGCGCTCCGAATAAATCCAGTTCTTGTTGGAGGATACTCAATTTACTTCCCAATTGATTGCGGCTGAGAACATGGGAGACCGGCCCGCGGTTATCATACTCCGACTTGATAAACAAGGAGGCCTTTTCAATTAATCTGTTCCAGTTGTCGATTCAGCTTTTACACATGCGAATGAGAATAAATTCAACTTGGCGTAGGTCTCGACGTCTGGCATGAGCCGCGTAACAAGGTCTCGGTGGTTTGTTGCGTCCATCCGCAGGATGGTACCACGGAGATCTCGAGTAATATCCATAATACGGGCGAGAAGTGCATCTCGTTTGTCTTTTGTGTCCTTTATTTCCTGGAGAGAGATGAGTTCTAGAACAGCCGGCCTAGTGATGCAGACATACTTTGTACGTTTTCACAAACGCAGACAAGACAGCAGCAGCCGGAGCGATAAATGGGACCTTTTCAACAAGATCTCCAAGGTCTTTAACGAGATTAAGCGCAACACCGATGTTATCGATTGCGGTGTCTTTCAAGTTTGTAGCCTTGTCGACAACTGGCGGATCGCTCGCCGGTGGAATCACCACCACTGTCGGGACTGAAGGCGCAGCACCAGAAGCATTGGTTGACGTTGGGTCGCTCGCAGATTGTGCAGGCCCTGGCAGCACAGCAGGAGTGTCCAGAGTACGCGAGTCCATTTGCGGCGATTGCACATTCACCGTAGGCGGAGCTGATGCAGTTGAGATGGCTGGAGGTAGAATAGGACTAGATGGCCGGGAGGAGCCCGACTTGAAGAGGTTTTTGAGACGGTTGGGCATGGCGAAGTCTGACCTGGCGATAGAGAGGATGTATCGCGACCCCACGTGTGTAGCGTGATCGTGACATCGGGGGAAGAGAGGTGATAAATATATAACTCATTCATACACTGTGTTCAAAGTCAACTTGAACGTCCGCTTATTCGCCCAGGTTATCTGCGGCGGATGCACGCTATCGTGCGACCGGGTGCTTGGGTTGGCTGGTGTACAGATATGGTTCGAGCAAGCAAGAAAGGATTTCACTTAGGCAGGCAGCCGGCGTTGGGGCCGGAGAAGTGCGCGTCGTAGCCTTCAGACGCCGAATTTCAGCGCGCCGCCCGAAGACGACTGAGGCAGTCGCTTCCAAGCTGAGATTTCAGCACTTGGTCAGCACCACAAAAAAAAAGACCTCAAACCGGCAACACACCCGACCCCGGATCGAACGGGGACGTCTGCTTCTGCAGCGCCGCGAATTTGAAGCCTACAATCTGCAGCCATCGTACGACCGGGTGCTTAGAATAGGTTGGGGCGGGGTACGGTTTGAGCGCGCGGTCTCAACGGGCCTGGGGAAAGGTAGACTTGTCTGGAGCGTACAGCGCTGCGATCGTTGTCGGCCGACAGTTGACGTCTGCAAGGGATGGCGGAGTAGACGCAACGTGCTCCTAAGGCCCTGGTGGTACGTGGACGGTTCCTGTTCCCGCGCGCTCGCGGCTCGACTCGGAGGCCAGGCCAGCGGGGAACAAGTACGGCAGCCGTATTGGATAGTAGAGATTCGGACGGTGAATGTTGGGTGAATGAGATGACTTGAAATTGCCACCAATAAAAGAAGAATGAAAAAAGATGATTGCACAAAGCGCAGAGACCATGGCCTGACCCCGATTCGAACGAGGACCTCCCGCTAACGCTGACAGCTTATTGCTTTAACTGAAGCAGGCACCCTACACTGTGCTACCAGGCCGACAAAGGTTACCGCAAGTTCCTGTAGCTGCTCGACATGGTTCCGAGTACAGTCTCAAGCTGTCTCAAGTCATCTCAAGAAAGATCCAGAAAAGCATGAGCAGTGACAGATTTGGCCACGACAGAGCGAAGACACCACCGCCAGCAAAGCAAGAGAAAAAGTGTTGCAATTGCAAGCAAGGCCGAACGACTTGCCAAAAAAACAGCAAGAGGAAGAAGAGTCTAAGGTTATATCTGGCCCTCAAACGCTCCGAAAAAAGACGAGATCAGCGCCGAATCGAACGGGGAACGTCCGCTACCGCTTTCCCCCAGATTATCGGCGGAGGATGCATGCCATTGTGCGACCGGTGGCATGGTGTACAGGTAGGATTTAAGTGCAAGTACTTACCAAGAACGTAACTCGGCTGGGTAGACCACCGTCGGGGGACGGAGGAGTACGCGTCGTCCCAGCATTCAGACGCCGAATCTCAGGGCGCCGCCCGAAGACGGCTGAGGCATCTAGCTTCGTAGCTTCTCGGCTAAGATGTCAGTACCCTAATAAATAAAAAAAGACTGGACAATGCCGAACACACCCAGCCCCGAATCGAACGGGGGACGTCCGCTTACAGATTCTTTCGTGACGATCCAGTGTCTGCGGATGCACGCCATTGTGCGACAGGGTGTCTGAGTTGTCTCGTGTCGGGGTAGGATTTGAGTGCAAAGTAGCTGAGCGTATAGCCTAAGCTGCAGACTCCGAAAATTGAATCTCACCATCTACGAATCCGCAATGGCCATCTCCGCAGGCAGATTCGTTTGTATGCGCAAGATTTCAATAAAGTGAAGGAAAGAATTGTGACAAGGGCAAGACGGACCTGGAAAAAAAACATCATCGCTTCATGATCCATCCGACCCTGAATCGAACGGGAAACGTCCGCTTCCGCTTGTGCAATTTCGAAGCCTACAATCTGTAGCCGTTGTATGACCGGGTGCTTGGAATTCGGGTGCGGCTTGAGTAATTTGAGTGTCTGTACAACGGGGTAAGGACAGGTGCCCGGGATACAGCGGTGTGCCACCGTGCGCTGCGACCGCTGTCGAACGACCGTACCAGGCTCGCGGCGCGGCGCACGACGCACACAACGTCTGGGCCCAGGGATCATGGCGGATGAGACACGACGCGCTCCTTAAGGCCCTGGTGGTAGATGGACAGTTCAAGTTTGTGTTCCTGGGGCCTGGGCTAGCCCTTTCAGCATGCGACTCGGATTCAGAGGCCAGGAAGGCACAGCGAGGACAGGCGTATTGGACAGTAGCGATTCAGATTCGGACGCTTGAATGAAGACGGTTTCATGTTGATTGAGATACGGACTTGCCAATAAAAGAAGAAAGAAGAAAGAAAAAGAATGCCGACGGAACATGGCCTGACCCCGATTCGAACGAGGACCTCCTGCCAACGGTAAAGTTGGAATCATTATGTATCTGAAGCAGGCACACTACCGCTATGCTACCAGGCCATCAAGGACATTGATAGCGACAAGGCTCCGACGGGTTTCGAGTATAATCGCAACTAATCGCAAGAAGGATCCAGAAAAGTATGAGCAGTGAGACTTGAGTGATTGATTCTACATAACAAAAACAACTAAAACAACAACAACAAAACTACCACGGCTACGACTACGCCTAGATAGAGAAAGATACGGAGCATAATTAAAGGAAGTAGGGCTACAACTGTAACGTCAACGACATGGGGACAGTAGGGGAGAAAAAAGAGGAGGGGCGGAAGGAAGGCGGAAGGCGGAAGGTAAGGTGCGAAGGTAAGAGGACGGGCGGAAGATAGAGGGCGGGAAGATAGGACGGTCCGTGTAGGAGGAGCATGTACGTAGCGCAGAAACGGGGGTGCATGGAAAAGGAGACCCATGAGAAGGTAAGGCGCATGGGGGAGACCTGAGGGACGATATGCGCAGGCAGAGGAGAGCGCGGGCAACCTCCGGTCGAAGGAAGATCACCCCCACGTCTGCCCCGAAGGCGGGAACGACGCCGCACGAAACACGAAGGGCGGGTGCGGCTGCGCTTGCTGCACCCTGGGGTCTTGCGTCTTCTGCGCCGCTTGCTGGGCCAGCCGGGGGTCTCGCGTCCGTGGGTCCGTCGTCTTCTGCACCCGCGGATCCCCTGTCTTGACGTGTTCCGTCACCGTCGCTGTTGCCGTCGAGCTCGAACTGACGTCCTCGACATCGACCATCTCAGCGTCTGCAACGTCGTCACCGTCAGGATCAGACTCGACCTCAACGAACTGCGCCGCAAACCCCGGCGGGATCACGAGCGCACGCGCAAAAGCAGGCTGGGGACGCGCGGTGCCGGTCGCGACGAGCGATTGGAGGTAGGTTTCGAGACGGAGTTCCTGCGGATGGCGTCAGTTTCATGCCAGAAAGGTGACCGAAAGGAGGGAAATGGGGGGAGGGAAGGCGAGGATGAGAAGGAGAGGGAGAGGGGAGTGGAGAGCAAGGGACAGAAATGGAGGAGAGGATGGGATAGGACATGAGAGTCGTGGGATTCAAAAAAAAGGTGGGTGCGGGAGGTGCGAGATGGGCGAGCGACGATACGACCAGGACAAGGTGGAGGGATGAGGAGTGAGATATGATGAAATCCAAGCGAAAACGTAGAGGATAATGCGCCAGGAGCGTGCAATACGACGAGAGGCGGTAGGACGACAATTTTGCCGTGCACGCCGGGCTAAGGACGAGCAAAGACGAAGGGAGGGAGAGGGGGAGGGAGAAAGGGAACGGAAACGGAATGGAATGGGATGCAATACGGCACAAGACAAGGCCGAAAAGAAAGGATAGGTAGACAGGGGCGGCATATTTGGGTGTGGATGTGGGTCACGTAGCATAGAAATAATATGAAATGAAAAATAAGTGGCAAGAATGGCGCAATTTTGGCGAGGGGTAGGTAGGTAGTGAGACGTTGCGGTGCACGCCGGAAAAGAGTAGGTGGGAAAGAGAGGAGGAAGGGGGGGAAGGCAAGGACGAAAGTTGGGAAACGCAACAAACCTCGAAGCTGGTACTCTCGAGCCCAGGAGTCGCCGTGATACTCTGGAAGAGCTCACCCTCGGGCGCGCTCCTTGCCTCTGTTGCCTTGGTCGTACCACTGGCGCCCACACGCATCCCCGCCCCGATCTGCCCTTCCACCGAATCCACGTCGATTTCCATCATCGCGCGTACCAGTTGCGCCTGCGGTGCCGACGCCGCCCTTGCCACCCGCCTCGCGCCAGCGATCTTCCTTGGGGTCGCTGGTAAAGGTGCAGCGCGCTGGATACGCAGCAGCGTCGACACATACCCGTCGTCGCTCCCGCTCTCGCTGCCCGAATCACAGTCGAACGCGAGAGCGAGCGTGCTGAGGTCGACGACTGTATGCAGCGCGGCGGGGCGCGGTTTCGCCATGTCGACCTCGGTGAGCCCATGCATGGGTCCTAGAGGGTTGTCGTCCCCTAGCGGCAGGGCAGACATGGGGTTGAGGAGGTGGTCTTCGCGCGGGGTGTAGTAGTGGTCGAACATGCTGGGTAGGACATGTGCACCAGAGTATCCAGTATAAGACTGAGTTTAATGGTCTTGAGAGTTAGAAAAGGCTCCTTGCGGTTGCCACCGAGTTCTGGAAGGGAAATTCACAAAATGGACATGGCGGCGGGAGGAGAGGGAGGATTTTGCGGTCACGAGACCCACAGCTGAGACATCTTGAGACATGTCACACAGCCTGGGTTTCACTTTGGTCATTTCCGGACAGACGGATTCTCCTTGTTCGTGTCATGGTAACCAGTGAGTACCAAGAACTGACCGAAGGACCTTTTAAAAATAACACAAGGGTAGGCCATGTAGCCTACAAGACTAACCCATTTCAGATATTGCCTCACTGCCGATCCGCCACAAATCCGACACCCTCTGTTTGAAACACCTTGAAACGTTAATATTCTGACCAGAGAAAAAGAGAGTACCCTTGGACCAGAAATTCGTCGTTACACTCAAGGTGCACTCAAAAAAAACTTCCAAACGTCAAGACCTATGGCTTGGGCTCGCTTCGAACGAGCGCTTCTGCCGGCGACTCTTCCGCGAGGGTTTGGAGACACGAGCGATCCGCCACCGAGCCTTTCTGACCCGTGTTCTCACTCTAAGTAAGTATGGGACTTCTGGGTCCTGAGCAGAGGTACATCCGTGAGTAGTCAAATTCGTTGTCCAACCGTGGTTGAATAATAGAAAGTATACACCCGCAGATAAAAGCTCAAGGGCATACCGGTAATTGCAAGCACGTTTGCCTTCCAACTGAACGGTGATCTCGTATTGAGTTCTCCGTTGTGTTCACCTAGCTAGGTGATCACCGGAAAAAAATACTCACCTGAGACAAGGCATGACTCGGGCTCGAATCGAACGAGCGAACTTCTGCCAAATCTTCGTTACTTTCCTCAACTAAATAATGCAGACGCGGACCATCCGCTACCGAACCTTTCACCTATCTCACCTCTCACTTTCATAAAGACGCAACTTTCCACGACTTTGGAAACTAGATTCACCTAGGGTTGAACGTTGAACTCCAATTAATTATTAAATTCCGAGCCTGTCAATGTCCTCCAGAACAAAGTTGAACCAGTTCTTCCTTTCCGGCATGCTCTCATAATCGGGTGAGTGCTCACAGGAAAAAATAGCGCCTTGCAGGAAGGTCTCATGGCTTGGGCTCGAATCGAACGCGCAAGTTCTGGCCAAGTCAACGTTTTCAACAGATTAAATGAAAGGATCTTCAGACACGGATCATCCGCCACCCAGCCTTCCCTGGCCATATTCTGTTCGGGTTACTCAGGTGGTCAAATATGGGCTATAACTAGACAAAGAGAGCCAGAGGGAAAGTGAGCAATTTAAATTCAACCGTGGTTGAATCACAAAGATCTTGACAAATGAAAGCAGATGTCTTCCAGTGAACCTTGAATGTATGGTAGTCTCTCGGGGAGACGCTTCAACAAACTGAAGCTTGTTGGAGTATTTCATGGTAAGCTTTAAGACGCTCATCGCAATTAAATTCAACCCTGGTTAAGCCTGAACGTCGATCTCTCAACGAGAGATCTTGGCAGATTAAGCATGCCGAAACGTCTTTCACTAGAACCTGGATTTTGTAGTAAGCTCTCCGTTTAGCTTACGCACCGCTCAATATTAATAAATCTATTTCCACCGCACCTGTGGCTTAGGCTCGATTACGGAATTTTTGCGCACTTATTCCCTTGTAGAGGTCCTCTACTTACCCCACAAGTCATCAGGGGCACAATTTGATTTGGTGATCGGTACTATATAAGCGGAATTTTAATCAAACTGGTATGATGCCTCCCCGTTGTCTGCTGAGACACATCCCTACTCGCGCGCTGCATGGGCATGGAAGGAAAACCCGGGCGCTGTCGGTACCTTCGTTCATATTGTAATCTGATTCGCTACTCATGTTTTTACTCAGGAACCAATCCGCTCAGAAGTTCGGCGTCTGACCACTGGCACTAATCAACCAGTCTATAAAGACTGGTACTCCTCACAAGACGTACCCTGGCCCTGGTCATGCGACTGGGCCCGCTGGGTCCACACCGAGAAATGGATTCGAAACGGTCCCATCCTCCCGGTCGAGTACGAATTCAACGGCCCCTACCGCCTGCCCGCCCCACTCGAGCCGATCCTCTTCTGCGACCCAGAAGGGGACGGGGAGTGGCACGACTTTGCCTTTTTCTGCGGAGGGCGGTACTACTACTACGACGCCTGCTCGCCGATGGTGCGCCGCTTCCACGGGACGTACGCGTCTCCCGCCGCATTCCTTCGGGCCCGTATCGAGACCTTGGGACACCTGCCGCCGATAAACCCAAGTGTTCGGGAGTTTATTGACAGGTGGTATGGGATAGACCGACCGTGGCCGCCGTCTGCGACTCAGGACGAGGATTTCCGTCGCGCCCAACAGAAGATGGACATGGAATCCAGGTTTCCTCCTCCGAATGATGTTTATGGCATCATACTTGCAGAGGACGAGAAGCATGAAATAATGGTAGTGTGTGGTGACCGCACAAGAATCAATTGAGCAGATATCCAGTATATTCCAACTTGCCAGTGCGAACTACATTTCGTGTCTGCACGCCCAAAAGCGACTCAAGGATCGCAAGGAGCCAAAACAGAGATTGTGTTCAATTTTCGGTGATGATACGGAGACCACATTAATATTCTAATAGCAAAGTTGTTGGGACGTGCCTTCCGAATCGTCAAGTTCACATCCTATGTTGCATCGACCTATGTCAAACAAGCCGTACTTGGCCTACCGAAGAGACACACATGCCGGTTAATCTCTCCCAATGCAAGAAGGAAAGCCTCAAGGCACAGTATAAGTATACATTATGGGCAGTGCCATCCTTCCAGTCTTTCTCTTCAGTTTCCCAACCTGTTTTGCGTGGTTATTAACCAGAAAAAAAGGCCAGAAACTTCAAACATCTCAAACTCTTCCCCGATGACTCCTTTTTTTCAACGAAAAAACTCCTCTATTTCTTCACGAAAATTTGACGCCCCGCCAGCGCCCGATGTTTAACGCAAAGCAATGCGTATTCTATTTACCAGTACGGCACCGCCTTTCTTCGTGGATGTGGATTGTTTGTTTTTCCGTTCGTTCGCGCCAACTTGAAATGTTCCTACCAAAGGCCCAAACTTGAAATTTGAATCGGAAAAAGAAATTCGCCGAAATGTCCTAGAGCTGGAATTACTTCGTTATTCCATTTATTTTTTTGAGTACAGAATATCTCGGCTACAGGAGCTTTAGCTCGAGATTACTTTAGGAAAGTAACAGGGAAATACCAGTATATCGATATCCTCGCAACATCTGCTTCCCCCACCGAGTCGGCGACCCAACTTCTTCGCAAAGTAGCGGCGACCACATCCCCAGCGCGCCCCGTCCTCCACGCACTCGTACCTTACCCTCCGTCTCAAAATGCCCGGACCCTCACGCCCGAACCCGCCTCTCCTCGCCCCCGGGCCCGCGCGCCACCCCTCCCGCTCCGCCTCCGCGCGCCGCACCACATCCACATCCACCAGCGCGCCCGCCGCCCGCCGCCCCCACACCCACACCGCGCTTCCCCATCCCAATCCCAAGCCGGCACAGCCGGTGCGCACGTACGGCAGCGGGGGGCGCATCACGAGCGGCACCGCCGCGTCGCGCACCGGGTACGTCTGCGGAGGCGCCGTGGACGTGGACGTGGATGTCTGGCTCGAGGTGCTCTCCGCCTCCGACTCCGGCGCCGCATACTTGAGCCGCAACAACGCCTCGCGCGCCGCGGCACCGGTACCCCATCTCAATCGTCCTCCTCCTCGCCCTCCCAACAGGCCAATACCGCCTCCGCTCCACCTCGTCGTCCCCACCGGCATGCGCGCGAACGAGAGGCGCACGGCGCCGTACGCGGGGTGGAGCGTCGTGATGTGCATGTGGGCGCGATGTGCGTGCGGGCGCGGGCGAAGGCGAGGAGGGCGGTGGTGCGGTGGGCGTGGCGGCTGTGGGGAGGGGAGGGGAGGGGGAGGGTTAGTTGAGTCAGGGGCGGGGTAGGGTGGGGAGGGTGGGGAGAGGAATGGGTCAAAGAAAAGAAGAAAGGGGAGGGCGGGGAGGGGGTAGCGGGGAAGGGGAAGGGAGAGGAACAGGTGGGAGAAAGGAGAGTGGGGAGGGTAAGAAAGGCAGGAAAGGGTAGGGAGGGCAGGGCAGAGGCGGAGGTCACGGTGGAGGAGGGTAGAAAGAAGAGTAGGGAGAAGGAATAGGCCGGAGGAAGGAGAGCGGGGAGGGGAGGAATGAAGCGTCCGCGTGTTAGCGTTCGCGGGTAAGAAGGGAGGACACAGGACAGAGGACGAATGGTAGCAAAGGCAGGGCGCAGAGCGGGGCGGGTGAGGCAAGGGTGGGATCTCAGGGCGCTCGTGTATGGGTACTCCTGGTGAGCGTCCAGTTCGTGCGTGGAGTCGGGGTGAGCGTACAAGTTCGTGTCCTCCGAGTCGTAGTGTTGCCTGACATCCGAGTCGCCGTCAACGTCGGCTCAGCTTGGTTTGGCTTGGGTTTGGCTTGGCTCAGCTCAGCTCCGGGACGCAGAGCCAGGAAGGGGGACGGGGAAGCGGAGGACAGGGCGCAGGACAGGGGACGCAGGGGGTTGGGCGGAGGACGGGGTAAGGAAGAGAGGGCTAGGAAAAGGAGGAAAAAGGACGCAAGAAGAAACCATCGGCCCGGTTCGCGTGTGCGCCTGGACGAGTTCGATCGCAAATCAATGACTGTGGCCAAGGTCCCACAGCGTTTACCAAAACAGAAAAAGATGATGTAATACTTCACGCATGCCTCGGGCTCGAATCGAACGAGCTACTTCTACGTACACCCAATATTGACAAGCTGCAACAATTGTTGTAGATGCGGGCCATCCGCTACCGAGGCTTTTCAGGACACCACGGACTCGGAATATAATATATATGTTGGCAACTTTCTACGCATGGGAGTTGAACGGTTGAATGAGGTCGTGGTCTGTACTATACTCAGTTGCGCCGGTTCATTTAAATTTGTTTTTGATTTCTTCCTCTGACTCGAGTGAGCGATGACACTGTCAAACGAAAAAAGAATTGGATTTCTTCCTATACGCATGGCTCGGCCTCGAATCGAACGAGGGATCACTGCTCAACCTTCGCAGGAGATTCACCAGTTAATGGTTGCAGGCGCAGACCATCCGCCACCGAGCCGTTATTTCCTCTACTTCCAGTCCAATAGGTTGCCGACTTTTTTTGAGGCTGGGGCAAGCGGGAGGGTTTGGAATGAGCGTGGTTCAAAGTGCTGAGTACGCTCAATGGTGCTTGAATACTCAAAAAGTCCTCTTGGATAGACTGTGACCAAGGTCCCACTGTCCTTACCAAAGCAGAAAAAGAGGGTTGAATGTAAACCATCTATGCCTCGGGCTCGAATCGAACGAGCTGCGTCTGCATAACATGCAGTCGTGGTCTGTCAGCAAATTAATAACTGTTTCAGATGCGGACCCTCCGCTACCGAGGCTTTTCAGGGCACCACAGATTCGAAAGCATGTTCGGAAGTGTGAGGGTTCATTCAGGGTGTTTATTGCTTCCCTATCTTATTTTTTGTCGGTTCATGTTTTGTCGCACCCCCCCAAGGGAGGAAAAAAGGTACAGTCATCCTTTAAATTCCACTCTCAGGCTGCCTCGAATCGAAGCCAACCAAAAAAAAAAACAGTAGTTCCAACCCACTATGCCCCGGGCTCGAATCGAACGAGCGATCTCTGTAACAGGTTTCAATCAGTTTCAATATGATTATGATTGCAGACGCGGGCCATCCGCTACCGGGGCTTTTCAACGCACTGCGAACTCTGACTACGTTGGAAATTTTCTAGGCACGTTGGCAGCCGAAATACATTAGGTCTGGCCCGGGCCCGGTTACATGGTTTGGTAATTATAATTCTCTTTATATATTTTGCCTTGCTCCTTATTTTTTCTCTGTTCACTCCCCAAGGAACAAAAAAAAAAAAAAAAAAAAGGTATTAATGGTGATGAGCCCCATGGCTCGGCCTCGAATCGAACAAGGGATTCCTGCTCAAACGGTTCAGTATCAAACACCAATATCTGCAGATGCGGACCATCTGCCACCGAGCCGCTGCTACCCTTGCCTTCACTCAGAATATGTTGGGGACTTTTTTTTTTAAGCTGGGGAAATGGATACAAAAAAAATGAACTTGGTCCAAAGTGCCGAGTACGCTCAATGGTGCTTGAATGCGAAAAAACGTCCTCTTGGATAGACTGTGACCGAGGTCCTATTAAGTATCCTTACCAAAGCAGAAAAAGAGTGTTAATCGTGAACTATCTATGCCTCGGGCTCGAATCGAACGAGCTGCGTCTGCATAACATGCAGTAGTGGTCTGTCAGCAAATTAATAACTGTTTTCAGATGCAGACCATCCGCTACCGAGGCTTTTCAGGGCACCACCGATTCGAAAGCATGTTCGGAAGTGTGAGGGTTCATTCAGGGTGTTTAATATTTATTGCTTCCCTATCTTATTTTTCGTCGGTTCATTTTCGCATCCGCCCAAGGAATGAAAAAAAGTACACTCATCGTTTCAATTTCATGGCTCTCAGGCTGCCTCGAATCGAAGCCAACCAAAAAAAAAAACAGTAGTTCCAACCCACTATGCCCCGGGCTCGAATCGAACGAGTAATCTCTGTAACAGGCATGAAATGGTTTAACATGATTGCAGACGCGGGCCATCCGCTACCGGGGCTTTTCAACGCTCTGCGAACTCTGACTATGTATGTTGGCAATTTTCAAGTTCTGGGCGCGCTAGCAGTCGAAATACTTACATTAGGTCTGGCCCGGGCCCGGTTACATGGTTTGGTAATTATAATTCTCTTTATATGTTGCCTTGCTCTTTATTTTTGTCTGTTCACTCCCCAATGAAACACAAAAAAGAGGGTATTAATGGTGATGCGCCCCCGGGTCATGGCTCGGCCTCGAATCGAACGAGGGATTCCTGCTCAAACGGTTCAGTATCAAACACCAATATCTGCAGGTGCGGACCATCCGCCACCGAGCCGTCTCTGCCTCTACTTTCAGTCCAATAGGTTGTCGACTTTTTGAGACTGGGAAAAGGGAGGGACAAAAAATGAACGTGGTCGTAAGTGGCGTGAGTCCGTTCAATAGTGCTCGAGTATGTGTATGTATATATATATGTATATAACTTCTCGTAGATAACTGTGACCAAGGTCGCACAGGGTACACCAAAGCAAGGAGGGAAAAAAAGGACCTCGGGTCCATACCCTATACCCCAGGCTCGAATCGAACGAGCTATGTCTGCCTTAAATGCGCGTTCAATACATTTAATTGTTGCGGAAGTGGACCCTCCGCCACCGAGACTTTTCAGGGCACCACCGATTCGGAATATGTTTGCATGTTCCGGAGTGTGAGGGCGAGTCCCGGTTCATTCAGGGTGTTTAATATTTATTACTTCCCTATCTTATTTTTTGTCGGTTCATTTTTTTCGCACCCCCCCCAAGGAAGGAAAAAAGGTACAGTCATCGTTTCAATTTCATGGCTCTGCCTCGAATCGAATCCAACCAAAAAAACGGTATTTCCGGCCACCTATGCCCCGAGCTCGAATCGAACAAGCGATCTCTGTAACAGGTTTCAATCAGCTCAAAATGATTATGATTGCAGACGCGGGCCATCCGCTACCGGGGCTTTTCAAGGCTCTGCGAACTCCGAGTCTAACTATGTTGGCAATTTTCAAGTTCTAGGCACGTTAGCAGCCGAAATACAGTAGGTCTGGCCCGGGCCCGGTTACATGGTTTGGTAATTATAATTCTCTTTATATATGTTGCCTTGCTCCTTATTTTTGGTCTGTTCACTCCCCAATGAACAAAAAAAAAAAAAAAGGTATTGGTGGTTATGAGCCCCCGGGTCATGGCTCGGCCTCGAATCGAACGAGGGATTCCTGCACAAACAGTGAAGTCGACCGATAATACTCCAGCAGGTGCAGACCATCCGCCACCGAGCCGTCTCTGCCTCTACTCTCAGTCCAAATAGGTCACCTACTTCTTTTCTTTTTTTTTGAGGCTGGAGAAATGGATACAAAGTTCTAGAGCGCTGAGTACATTCAAAAGTGCTTGGCTGTGAAAGTCACCTCCGCCAGACTGCGGCCAAGGTCCCATAGCATTTACCAGGACAAAAAAAAAGAGTGGTGGACAACACATGTCTCGGATTCGAATCGAACGAGTGATTCCTGCTCAAGTTTTGTCATCGAGGTCAATATTCCAGCAGGGGCGGACCATCCGCCACCGAGTCGTTTCTGCCTCTACTTTCAGTCCAATAGGTTGCCGACTTTTTGAGGCTGGGGAATGGATACAAAAAAATGGACCGTGACGTGGTCCAGTGGGGGTACATTCAATACATGGTGCTTGAATGCGAAAAAAAGTTCTCTTGGATAGACTGTGCCAGTGGCCAAGGTCCCATCATGATTATCCTTACCAAAGCAGAAAAAGAGTGTTACTTGTGCACGACCTATGCCTCGGGCTCGAATCGAACGAGCTGCGTCTGCATAACATGCATTAGTGATCTGTCAGCAAATTAATAGCTGTTTTCAGATGCGGACCTTCCGCCACCGAGGCTTTTCAGGGCACCACAGATTCGGAATATGTTTGCATGTTCCGGGGTGTGAGGGCGAGTCACTCCCGGTTCATTCAGGGTGTTTAATATTTACTGCTATTGCTTCCCTATCTTATTTGTTGTCGGTTCATTTTCGCACCCGCCCAAGGAATGAAAAAAGGTACAGTCATCGTTTAAATTTCATGGCTCTGCCTCGAATCGAATCCAACCAAAAAAAAAACAGTAGTTCCAACCCACTATGCCCGGGCTCGAATCGAACGAGTAATCTCTGTAACAGGCATGAAATGGTTTAACATGATTGCAGACGCGGGCCATCCGCTACCGGGGCTTTTCAAGGCACTGTGAACTCTGACTATATTGGCAATTTTCAAGTTCTAGGCACGTTAACAGCCGAAATACATTAGGTCTGGCCCGGTTACATGGTTTGGTAATTCTCTTTACATATTGCCTTGCTCCGTTTTTTTTGTTGTCTGTTCACTCCCCAATGAACAAAAAAAGGAAAAAAAAAGGTATTGGTGGTGATGAGCCCCATGGCTCGGCCTCGAATCGAACGAGGGATTCCTGCTCAAGTATTGGAATCGAGGCTAATATTCCTGCAGGTGCGGAGCATCCGCCACCGAGTCGTTACTACCTCTACTTTCAGTCCAGATACGTTGATGACTTTATTTTGAGGCAGGAAATGAATACAAAAAAATGAACTCGGTCCAAAGTGCCGAGTACGCTCAATGGTGCTTGAATGCGAAAAAAGGCCTCTTGGATAGACTGTGACCGGGGTCCCATTATCCTGACCAAAGCAAAAAAGAGTGTTACTTGTGCACGACCTATGCCTCGGGCTCGAATCGAACGAGCTGCGTCTGCATAACATGCAGTAGTGGTCTGTCAGCAAACTAATAACTGTTTTCAGATGTGGACCTTCCGCCACCGAGGCTTTTCAGGGCACCACCGATTCGAAAGCATGTTTGTATGTTCCGGAGTGTGAGGGTTCATTCAGGGTGTTTAATATTTATTGCTTCCCTATCTTATTTTTTGTCGGTTCATTTTTTTTCGCACCAGCCCAAGGGAGGAAAAAAGGTACAGTCATCGTTTCAATTTCATGGCTCTGCCTCGAATCGAATCCAACCAACCAACCAAAAAAAAAACGGTAGCTCCAAGCCACATGCCCCGGGCTCGAATCGAACGAGTGATCCTGTAACAGGCATGAACCGGGTTCAACATGACTGCAGACGCGGGCCATCCGCTACCGGGGCTTTTCAACGCACTGCGAACTCCGAGTCTAACTATGTTGTCGATTTTCAAGTTCTAGGCACGTTAGCGGCCGAAATACATTAGGTCTGGCCCGGGCCCGGTTACATGGTTTGGTAATTATAATTATGTTGCCTTGCTCCTTATTTTTTCTCTGTTCACTCCCCGATGAACAAAAAAAGGAAAGGAAAAGGTATTGGTGGTGATGAGCCCCATGGCTCGGCCTCGAATCGAACGAGGGATTCCTGCTCAAGTTTTGTAATCGAGAATCGAGGTCAATATTTCTGCAGGTGCGGACCATCCGCCACCGAGTCGTTACTACCTATACTTGCAGTCCAATAGGTTGCCGACTTTTTGAGGCTGGGGAATGGATACAAAAGAAATGGACGTGGTCCAGGGGGTGTACAATCAATACATGGTGCTTGAATGCGAAAAAAGGCCTCTTGGATAGACTGTGACCAAGGTCCCACTGTCCTTACCAAACCAGAAAAAGAGTGTTACTTGTGAACGACCTATGCCTCGGGCTCGAATCGAACGAGCTGCGTCTGCATAACATGCAGTAGTGGTCTGTCAGCAAATTAATAACTGTTTTCAGATGCGGACCCTCCGCCACCGAGGCTTTTCAGGGCACCACCGATTCGAAAGCATGTTCGGAAGTGTGAGGGTTCATTCAGGGTGTTTATTGCTTCCCTATCTTATTTGTTGTCGGTTCATTTTCGCACCCGCCCAAGGGAGGAAAAAAGGTACAGTCATCGTTTCAATTCCATGGCTCTGCCTCGAATCGAAGCCAACCAAAAAAAAAAAAACGGTTGTTTTCGACCATCTATGCCCCGGGCTCGAATCGAACGAGTGATCTCTGTAACAGTCGTCACTGGGTTTCAGTATGAATGCAGACGCGGGCCATCCGCTACCGGGGCTTTTCAAGGCTCTGCGAACTCTGACTATGTATGTTGGGAATTTTCTAGGCACGTTAGCAGCCGAATTACATTAGGTCTGGCCCAGTTATATGGTTTGGTAATTATAATTCTCATATATGTTGCCTTGCTCCTTATTTTTTGTCTGTTCACTCCCCAATGAACAAAAAAAAAAAAGGTATTCAGTCATGAGCAGCCCCATGGCTCAGCCTCGAATCGAACGAGGGATTCCTGCTCAATTTTTGTAATCGAGGTCAATTCCAACAGGTGCGGACCATCCGCCACCGAGTCGTTACTACCTCTACCTCTACTCTCAGTCTAGATACGTTGATGACTTTATTTTGAGGTGGGAAATGGATATATATAAAAATGGACCGTGACGTGGTCCAGTGGGGGTACAGTACATTCAACATGGTGCTTGAATGCAAAAGAAAGTCCTCTTGGATAGACTGTGGCCAAGGTCCCATTGTCCCTACCAAAAAAGAGTGCTTGAACAACCTATGCCTCGGGCTCGAATCGAACGAGCTGCGTCTGCATAACATGCAGTAGCGGTCTGTCAGCAAATTAATGACTGTTTTCAGATGCGGACCCTCCGCCACCGAGGCTTTTCAGGGCACCACAGATTCGGATAAGTATGTTTGCATGCTCCGGAGTGTGAGGGCGAGTCACTCCCGGTTCATTCAGGGTGTTTAATATTTATTACTTCCCTATCTTATTTTTGTCGGTTCATTTTTTTTTCGCACCCGCCCAAGGGAGGAAAAAAGGTACAGTCATCGTTTCAATTTCATGGCTCTCAGGCTGCCTCGAATCGAATCCAACCAACCAAAAAAAAAACAGCAAATCTGACCACCTATGCCCCGGACTCGAATCGAACGAGTGATCTCTGTAACAGGTTTCAATGGTTTCAATATGATTATGATTGCAGATGTGCGCCATCCGCTACCGGGGCTTTTCAATGCACTGCGAACTCTGACTATGTATGTTGGCAATTTTCAAGTTCTAGGCACATTAGCAACTTAGCAGCCGAAATACATTAGGTCTGGCCCGGCCCGGTTACATGGTTTGGTAATTATAATTCTCTTTATATATGTTGCCTTGCTCCTTATTTTTTGTCTGTTCACTCCCCAATGAGCCACAAAAAAAAGGTATTAATGGTCATGAGCCCACATGGCTCGGCCTCGAATCGAACGAGGGATTCCTGCTCAAACGGTTCAATATCAAACACCAATAGCTGCAGGTGCGGACCATCCGCCACCGAGTCGTTACTACCCTTGCTTTCACTCAGAATATGTTGGGGACTTTTTTTTTTCAAGCTGGGGAAATGGATTCGGGGGTCTAAAGTGTCGAGTATATTCAATAATGGTTGATTGCGAAAAAAAAAGTCCTCTTAGATACACCTGTGCCAAACTTTGGCAAGGTCCCAGTGTTTACGTGTTTACCAAAGCAAAAATAAATAAAATAAACTGTCGGCCTCGGGCTCGAATCGAACGAACTGCGTCTACATAACATGCAGTAGTGGTCTGTCGGCAAATTAATAACTGTTTTCAGATGCGGACCCTCCGCCACCGAGGCCTTTCAGGGCACCACAGATTCGAATAAGTATATTTGCATGTTCCGGAGTGTGAGGGCGAGTCCCGGTTCATTCAGGGTGTTTATTGCTATTGCTTCCCTATCTTATTTTTTGTCAGTTCATTTTTTTTCGCACCCGCCTAAGGGAGGAAAAAAGGTACAGTCATCCTTTAAATCTCCTGGCTCTGCCTCGAATCTAACCAACCAACCAAAAAAAAACAGCAAATCTGACCACCTATGCCCCGGGCTCGAATCGAACGAGTAATCTCTGTAACAGGTTTCAATCGGTTTCAAAATGATTATGATTGCAGACGCGGGCCATCCACTACTGGGGCTTTTCAAGGCACTGTG